GCCAGGCTGGCCTGGCCGACACTCGGCCACCTGCGAGATGGGACGCTGCTCGGCTCAGTGGGCCTAGCAGCGGACGGGATATCCGTAGCTGGAGAAGGCGCACCGCTCCTCGGGCGAGCAGTGTCATTGAGGGCAGCCATCGCCAGCCCACCCTCCGTAGCCGTCGGACCCGTCTTGCTGAGTACCCCTGGCCTCGCTGCAGCGCCCCACGCCAGCCGTGTCAGCGCCTCCAGCGGCGGCCCGCCCAGCAGCGCCTCGGCCCTCAGCAGCAGGGCAGCGCACGGTGGCCGCGATGGGGTACATGACGCGCTCCGCGCCCAGCAGGATGTAGTCGTCGTCCGCGATGGTGTGCGAGGAATGCTCCAGAGCAAGGGCCAGCACCTCGGAGCCCATCCGCTCGGCGCTGGACACAGTGTCGAGCTCCACGTCGTTGCCTGCGTCGCCACGCTCCACCTTGAGTTGGCCACGAACTTCGACAGCAGGACCTTCTAGGCTCGGTTCCGAGACGTGGGTACTGATGGCAGTCCCCGACATGACTAACCATTACGCCACGCTCATCACCTCCCCAAGCGAGGTCGACACCGCCGTCACGCCCTACTTCCGCGGCAGGCCCTCCAGCGTGCGGCCTGACGCACGGGCTGAGCGCACGCGCGGTGGGCGGCTTCGCGCCACGGATGCGTCTATGCCTGCCTCCATCACCGGGAACTTCGAGCAGATCTGAGCTCGAGCCGTAGACCGTGCCGTAGTTCGTGCGCACCTCTTCGTCATCGTCCGTCTGGAAGTCGCCCATGGGGCGGTCGCGTGGCTGTGCCTTCCTTGGGGGGGGGGCCTTGGGGTGCTCCCAGAGCTGCTCCCCTGCCCCCCCCTGGCCATCGCGCCGCCCCTCGTGGTGATCGGAACCCGCCCACGCTACCCCACCAGTAGCGGCACACTCTCCGCGCCTCGCGCCAGAGGCAGCCCCTTGACTTTGCGAGCTGACGCCCGTGGCGACTGAGCCTGGTCGCCGCGTTGGCACATCAAGACTTTGCGATCTGACGCCAGGGCCCTGCTCGGCATCGTGAGCGCCGCCGCCGTCCCGACCGTCACGTGGATGCACTGACCCGCCAGCGACTTGCCACGGCCGCGCGAGCACCAGGGGGCTCCGCCTGGCCCCTCGCCAGCACGGCAGCCGGATGACGTCCAGGGTACCGCCGTCGTCGACGTCGCGCTCGGCGGTGTGCCCGTCGCCGTCGTCGGAGCACAGGGTGACGCTTGCCTTCGGCCAAGGTCCTTGACGTAGTCGCTCGAGGTGCTCTCGGCCAGCAGGTGTGGTCCCCTGGCATTAGGCGAGCAGGCCTCGCCTGAGCGCACACAACCCTGCCCACGCATAGCAGCCACATGCCAGACATGCCCACACGTCCAGAGATACCTGCAGCTGCATCGTATGCGACTCGTGCACCTGCTGGTCACCGATGTGCAACGGGGTGTCGGCTGAGGCAGGACGGGCCCAATCGTCCCCACAAGCCACGAGCCCTTTGCATGCGCTGGCTAGCCACGCTGCTCGACTGGTGTGTCCTGCAGACGTGCGGCAACACCGACAGATAATCCCGTCGTGCAGCGCGTGCTTGGAGCTGAAGGCGTTGGTCGAGGAGGAGGAGGGGGAGGCGGAGGCGGAGGCGGAGGCGGAGGCGGAGGCGGAGGAGGTGGAGGAGGAGGAGGAGCAGGAGGAGGAGGAGGAGGAGGAGGAAGAGGAGGAGAAGGAGGAGGAGGAGGAGGAGGAGGAGGAGGAGGAGGTGCGCCTCCGCGGGGCGTGCCGCTTGCGTAACCGTCGCCACTTTCGTGTGCTCCTGGGGGTCCCAGCGGAGTGAGATCTCCAGGCGGACCCAGACAAGACCACGCGCTCCCTCGCGGGGCGTACCAACTGCGCACCGATCGCCTTTTCCGTGGGCTCCTGGGAGGCCCAGCGGGGTGGGATCCCAACGCGGACACAGAAGAGACCACGCGCTCCCTCGCGGGGCTCAATTGTCGCCGCCTTCAGGGACTGCTACGAGGCCCAGCGGAGTGGGATTCCAACGCGGACCCAGACACGACCACCCCTTCTTCGACCCTTCTTGTTTATTGTCGCTCCTCTGGTCTCTCTCTCTCTCTCTCTCTCTCCCTCTCTCTTTCTCTGAGGCGTGCCAACTGCGTAAGTTTCGCCACTTGTGTGGGCTCCTGGGGGTCCCAGCAGAGTTGGGGATTCCGCATTGGGCGGACCCGGACGAGACCACGCGCACCCTCGCGGGGCTGCAGGAGGCGCCATTGTCGCCACTTCCGTGGGACGCCCAGCGGATTGTGACCCCCACGCGGACCCAGACGAGATCATGCGCTCCCTCGCGGGGCTGCCAGCTGCAACGGGCCGCCATTCTCGTGGGCTCAGGGGAGACCCACTGCCAGGCGTGACCTCGAGAGCCTTGGCGGGGCGTGCCGCTTGTGTGACCGTGGGCAGTCTTGCGGGCTCTCGGGAGGCCCAGCGGAGTACGATCACCACGCAGACCCAGACAAGACCACGCGCTCCTTCGCGAGGCTACCACCTGCGCAACGGCCGCCACTTTCGTGGGCCCCTGCGAGGCTCAGTGCAGTGGGATCCCGACGCGGACCTGGGCGAGATCACGCGCTTCCTCGCAGGGCTGCCACCTATCGCCACTTTCGGGGACTCCTAGGAGGCGCAGTGGATTAGGGTCCCACGTGGGGCAAAGAGTACATTCGTTTTCCTATTCCTCTCTTCTTTATTCCTGCCCATTTCATTCCGTGGTGCACCATGCAGACCCAATGAGCGTGCAACACAGCCCGCATGTGTAGCATTCAGAGATTGCGTCCCTCGTCGAGTGTTCCCTTTGATGAAACCAAATGCTGCACAGGGGTTCGGCACACGTCACTGGATATGTTTCGGTTTCAAATGTCACGATGTACTCAAAGTGCCTTCATATTTCAACAGTCCAAGGGGCTTCCTTTTGGCTCTTTCCTGTGTGCTGGGGCGGATCAACTCTCAAATCTGCTCTTACCACCTGCCTACTTCACACTTCCGCCAGCCTCTCCCGAGCGACCCGTACAGCTGGCCAGTCCCCTCCAGTTGCAGAGATCGTGGAGCCACTGACGCCGAGATCCACCACGACGACGACAACGACGACGATGACGACGACGCCGACGACGTTGGCGGCGGCGGCGGCGACGACGACGAGCCACCTGCGATGGCCCCCCCCCCCCCCGGGGGGCCGAGAGGCCTTTCGGGAAGCCGGTGTGCGAGCCGGGCCTGCTGGCGCGGGTGCCGCGGGGCGGGCCCCCTCCGTGCGCGCAGGCGCTCTGGAGTGCTGGGTCGATGCCTCGAGGTCTTTGGATGTCGCGAAGCAGAGATCTTCCCGCGTGCGCAAGGAAGGGGGACAACACGGCTGCGTCTACGGTTCGAGCCTGGAGGAGGAGGAGGAGGAGGAGGAGGAGGAGGAGGAGGAGGAGGAGGAGGAGGAGGAGGAGGAGGAGGTGAGGTATAACCCGTGTCTTACGTCTCCCTGGATGGTGTTCAAGTCATCCTCATCGAGGCCAGGAGGCCGTGTGAGCCATCTCAGGGCCCAGGATTGCCGTTTGCAAGCGCGACCGCCCCCAGACGGCACCGGGGTGCCTGCAGACGGCCTTCCCCATTCGTGCATCTTCCGGGTGGGTTGAGGCACCACGACGACATGAAATAAGCTGTGGTCTAGGCTTTAAGCTGCCCTGGTACGCCCAGTAAGTCCGAAGCGCCATTTCAAGCACCTGGGAACGTCAGGGAGCTCATCCCACCCTCTCCGCCCCCGACGCTCGGGCCCCGACCTAAAGGCACCTCGGCCAACGATCCTCCGAAAACACCCTCGACCCCTCGAACCCCGAGGTAGCTGCTATTTGATGCGTTGTTTCGCCGATCGGCGCGTGCCCCTAACGCCCGCCCCTCCCCCCCCCAGAGACCGGATCTTGGCTGCTCTTGGTGGCTGCTTTCGGCGACTGGTCAGGACCCCTGTCCCCCAGTCTGCTTGGGCGACTGGTAGAAACTAATCGACTGAGCACTGGCCTTCCCCACCCTTCGGCCAAATGTCGAAACCCAGGATTAAACAAAAAACGCCTACAGTCGGACCGAGGTATAAGATCGGGCTTGGTTCGGGGAGGGTACCTTACTGTTCTGCGTGTGTGCTGGATGTTTTTGTGCATCCTGGGGAAGGGTACCCTCGAGTGAATGTATGGTTTTGGGTGTTTTGGCCGGTGGAGGGTCTCGTGTTCTTGAAGGATGTTCTTCTGTCTTGGGTCCGACTGTACGAGGGCGCGCCAAGTTCCCCACCCCGCCGCCCGCCGCTGCCCTGAGATCCGACGTAGCGAAACAAGTAGAACATCACACAGACTCGCGACCAGAGCCCCAGACGCCACCTCCTTGCGCCATTTTCTAAGCATCGCTCAGGCGCGTGCTATTTTTCTCGGCGAGGACCATCGAGGAGCATCCTGGGACATCGAGCAGCGAGAAAACACGAAATATCCGAAGCATACAGGGACAGGATGTCCGAGCGCTGGCGAGTTTCGAGCCCGATCGAGCTGTGAGGGCCCCAGGGCCCGAGGCCTGGCGAGACGGTCCGGATCCGAGGGCCCTTGGAGGCCGAAGGGGGATCATGTCTGGGACCCTTCGGGACTTCGAGGGCACACCAGGGGGCCTCCCGTGATGGGCCGATTTCCCACTCCCACCGCCACCATAGGCAGGAGAGGGAGGAGGAGGAGGAGGAGGAGGAGGAGGAGGAGGAGGAGGAGGAGGAGGAGGAGGAGGAGGAGGAGGAGGAGGAGGAGGAGGACCTCCCCCTCCTCCATTCCTCCCCCGCCCTGCCTACGGCGGTGGTGGTGGAGTCTCGGCCCACCACCGCCGGCGCCCGCGCCCGCGCCCGCCAGGGCTTCAGCGCGGGCGCCCGCGCTCGAGCCCGCGCCCGCACGAGGGGGGCCCGCGCCCGCGCCCGCGCCCTCGCCGCGCGCCCGCCAGGGCTCGAGGCAGCGCACCGCCGACCCAGCGCGCGGCCCGGGCGCGCGGCCCGAGCGGCGCAACGCGCGCGCGCGCCATGCGCCCCAGCTTCCCGGCCGTTGGCCGCCGTTGGCCGCATGGTGGGTCACCGCGGTCGGGAGCGCGTCGTATCAAGCAGTGGCTCAGCGTAGGCCCACCAAAGAAGGTTTGTAAGGTCCTTCTTTGTGGTTTGCACGAGACGTTCTTGGAACATTGCTGGCTCAAGCTGTGCTGTTTTAGTCCATCGGGTTTATGTTCTAAGAACATTGTTTTTGCTCTTAGAACAATTCTTGGTTCCAAGAGCATTTCTTTGTAGGCCTATAGGAATGCCGGGACGGTCGGTCCATGCTCAATCGTAGAAAAATCGCGACAGGAGGTTTTTGGCCATTTTCGGCCTCCAGGGGCCCTCGCAGGGCCCCAGGACCGTCAAGAAACGTCTCGGGATGAGAAACGGGTCCTGGAGAAAGGGTCGGGATTTCTGGGAACCGCGCATGGAAAAAATAACAGGACGTCGCATGTCGGAGGACGAGACCCACGGAGGAGTATCGGATACGACGATAGGGGCGAATAGCACAGGGGAGTGCAATACGTGTATCCAGGGATGCCGATGGTCCTTGCCTTCGGCGAGGCTCCAGGGCGAATACATGAAATGCCCGCCCGTGGGCTATTCGCCCTTATCGTCATCAACCCACGGAGGAGGAGGAGAAGACGAGGAGGGCCAGGAGGCCAGGGGCAAGAGGAGGAGGAGGAGGAAGAGGAGGAGGAGGAGGAGGACCAGTGTAAACTAGACCCATCGGCGATATTGCAATAACCTCCCTCCAAGTTCCCTCCTCATAGGCCTCTAGAAGGGTTCATTTTTACTGAGGGGAGTGCCCCGTTGGAAGACAGCCGCTTGAACATGCGGAACTGTGTCAGAACACCGTTCCTGGGACTTCAGCGCAGCGAATCACCGTTGCTTTACGTCCTGACGATTCTGAGTTGAGCCATGCAGTCGGGCCGCCGAAGAATGAACCCTTTTCCTTGGGGAGGGGCTCAGTTTTCCTTCATCATTTTGCAGCTTTCCTTAGGTTTTCCTTAGAGTTTGTATGGGGCATCGAAGTTTACTTCTGGAACAAGGGCCTCGTTCTTATTTATGGTACCTTATGACAGCGTTTCGATTGTAACATTCCGGGGCGTCAACACCACGAATCAGCGCGACTGATGCGCCCTGATGCTCCGACATTGTGTCAAAATGCAAATTTTGCGCGAATGTGCGCGGCTCTGAGCCGCGATCCACCTTTTCAAAAGGAACCGCCCTCCATCCGTGAAGCTGTTGCATTTTGAAGACGAATGTGCGCGGCGCTGAGGCGAGAGCCGCATGTTGAAAACCACCCGCCCTCCATCCGCGAAGCTCTTGCATTTGTTTAAGGCGAACGTGGGCGGCGCTGAGGCGAGAGCCATATTTTGATGCGTGGAACTGTTACAAACCTTGAAGACGAATGTGCGCGGCGCTAAGGCTTACCAAGTCGAGAGCCACATTTTGAAAACAACCCGCCCTCCATTCGTGAAACTGTTGCAAATTTCAAGCTTCAGGGTCATACATGGTGGTGAGGAAACTTCAGGCGAAACGCCCAGCCCGCCCTTTCGAACGACCTCGGGGCGCGACAGGGAGGAGTTATTCTTAAGGAAAGCAATGAAGGAGGCGGAGGAGGAGGAGGAGGAGGAGGAGGAGGAGGAGGAGGAGGAGGAGGAGGAGGAAGACGAGGAGGAGAAGGAGGAGGAGGAGGAGGAGAAGGAGGAAGGCGGCGGCGACGGCAGCGACGACGACGACTTCGACGGCTTCGACGAGGAGGAGGAGGAGGAGGAGGAGGGCCCTCGGATCTGGGCGTTGCATTTTTTGTCACCGGGGCGTTTTCGCCCAATTTCGAACCCCGTGACCCTCACAGATCGCTCCGGCTCTACAAATGGCGCAGAGAGATGGGGTCCAGGGCTTCGGTCGTGATTCTTTACGATGTTGCATTTGTTTCGTCACGTTTGATTGGATCTCAGGGAAGGAGGAAGAGGATGGGGAGGAGGCCGAGGGAGGAGGAGGAGGAGGAGGAGGAGGAAGAGACCCAACTGGGGTCCGAGTCGACTCCACTGTAGTCTGAGTAGATCCAGACATACAGCGTCCCGAACTCATCGAGGCCGAGGTGTTTCATAGTTTGCGGCCTCTTGGGGCCCCTACCGAGCCTCGGGGGACCGTCAACAAAACGACTCGGGAGGAACAGCCAGTCCCCAGGAAGTGGTCGAGAAGTGAGGAGCCCGTGTCTCGACAAAGACGAGACGGCGGATGTCTGGAGATGCGGTTGGAGGATCACGCCTCATTGCCGATACGTCGCTGATACGGCTCGATGTGGAGCCCGATCTTCTCCGCGCTGGCGTCGTGGACGCACCGCCGATGCATCGCTGACGCATCGGCGATGCATCGCCGATGCGGCGCGATCCTCCGACCCCATCTACTCGGACCCCATTTGGGAGGCCTCTGCAAGTCCTCCCCGGTCCGCGCGCGCCGCGGCAGACATCACGGCGGGAGGTTTCTTTGGCACTCGTCGGACTTTTTGCAGGGGGGGCCCTTCCCAGACCTTCCTCGAGGGCCAACAAACAGCACCATGACTTCGACATCTAAAATCCAGTCAAAGCTTTCAGCAGTCCAGTCAGATCCACAGGTCTGGAGGGCTATCTTTTCGCACTCTGGAAGGTCAGGGTTGTCTAGCTGGCCCCCGGGGCCGTCCCAAGAGCAAGTCGGGATGAGAAGCTGGTTCTGGGAAGAGGTTCCAGACCCTCCTGGTGATCCACGCCGTGGATGATCACGACGTGGGGAGTTCTGCGACAGTTGCTGCGCGCAGCTGCTTGGCATCGCTCGGGCGTGTGCATATTTCTCGGCAAGGGTCCTCGGGAAGCTCGCGTCAAATTTCAGACTGGCTCTCGTCATTTTCATGATGGCCCCGGCCGGACAACCCGAGTCCCCCGAACCCGAGTCTTACGTCTCCCCTCAAGGGGCGACCCGCGCGCCGAGGAATCTTTCAGTATATGCGTAGTGGGGGGCGCTTTCTGGCCACACTGCTCTGGACACGATCTACTACAAGATGGGTGCACCATATGATCGGATCGGAGGCGAGCTTCCGAGGAGGACACATATATAGTACTAGTGTGTCTTTGTGCGTCCCATGCCTCCGCAGCCTCTCTCGGGCGACCAGCAGCCTCTCGGGGAACGGCTCGTCCTCGTCCTCCTGCTGCTACACGGCCTCGCACTCGAAGCAGCCGCAAGGGGCCGCTGGAGAGCCTCGGCCACTCAGCATGCCGTCTGGCTTCTCGCACCTTCCCGCCGAGACAGAGCTTGGCGGCGCACACGAGAGTGGTAGGGGGAGGGGGGAAGGCTTCTTAGAATCGAAGAACAACACACGGCAGAAACTCTTGGCGGTCCGCGCGGATTTCTTGGATCCGCGCTGGGACCCCTGGCGCCGCCACTGGCGCGCTCCGCGCGCCAGGGAGAGGGGCCAGCGCAGATCCAAGAAATCTGCGCGGGCCGTCAACAATTTATGCTCATGCCGTCTTTTCTTCCTCTATATAGAAGGAGACTGCTCCTTAGAAGGCGCGGGCCTTGCATCTGCAGACAAGGCCCGCGCCTTCCAGGAAGCAGGGGTGCTTTTCAGAAACTCGGGCCGGGGGGAAGGGGGGGATTGGGAAAGGGGGGGTTACGAAATTTGCTGCATGCAGCTGGTTTCGGCCTCACCGAGGGGCCCATTCCTCGATACATGGGCGCCTCCGGCGCCGGGAGGCGCCGGGAAAATCAGCTACGCGAGCTGATTCTCACCCCCCCTTTGCTATCCCCCCCTTTCGCCCGACCCGAGAAGCCTTCCCCCTTCCCCTTGACCCTCTCCTGCGCGCCGCCAAAGAGCGCTGCGGGGACCAGCGCGCGTTGGCCTGTAGGGTCGGCGCCCTCTCCGGACCTGGAAGCCCTGGCAGTGCGGGGGGTGATGTGCCCCAGCAGGTGGTGCTCCTGCCATCGCACGATGCCCTGCTCCAGGGGGACGAGGAGGAACAAGAGGAAGAGGAGGAGAGCCTTCTGGCCTCGGGCATCTGCCTAAGGGAAGGCTTTCTTGCTGCACCTGCAGATCGATATTGCCCCCCCCCCCCCCCCCTGCCCGCCATGGTAGTCGTTTCTCGACTTGAATGGGTAGCACGACAAGCTGATGCTGGCCGGGACGTGCACTTTTCCCTCAGTCACGCCAGGGACGAGGGCAACGCCAAGCCCAAGTTCGTCGTCAGTCCTGCATGTACTTCTACGGCGTGCGCTGTGCAGGCTTCTGCAGTAAGGACTCGTGCAGGCAATCGCTGAGAAGCCATCAACCTACACGGCCGTGGACAGAGGCATCTCCACAGTGACGGGACTTCGATCGTACAGGTATGCTTGGCACCAGTTTCCGTTGGTGCTCCAGACCCGCTCGAACGGGACATGCTTCCAGGTCCTCCCCAAGGCCACCGTGCAGGTGGTGATCCTCGCGACGGTGGCACGTCAGACGCGGGGAAGGGGATGGCCATGCAGTGGAAGAGGAGGAGCGCAGACCGGAGGGCAGCACCGTGCCCGTCCAGAGCCTCCTCGTCGACACCGTCGGCCGCGCGTAGAGCAGAGGCCCCGACGCCGCAGACAGTGACCGCGGCTGCGGCTCGGATGTCCCGCAGTCTTCGCCAAGGGGCCCTTGTCTTCCGTCCGGCTCCACAGAGCGACCGGGCACAGTGCGCTCTCCCGTTCGAGATCGTTGATGCCGTCCTGGAGCTAATTATTCGAACAGGCGTGCATCGAGGAGGCCGAGCGGCAACGCTGCGAGGCCACCATTTCTTTCTTGAAGCTTCTCATGCGCGTGCCCGCCGTCGACCCCGCAGATGTGACAGTGCTTCACACATCGCGCATGACTTTCGTCTGGGAAATCTCCAAGATGGGTTTCCGATGGTCTCCGGAGGTACTTGAGACGTTTCGGTCGCCTTGGAGGACCCGGGCCATCCGAGCGTCACGGACAGCAGAGGGACTGGATTTGCGTAGGGTTGAGGGAGATGAGGCAGGAGTGGATCTTACAGGTCG